CCTACAGGCCTAAGTAAAATTTTTATCTTTTTTTCCTTTACTACTGACTTCAGGGAAAAAGACAACACTGAAAAATTCTTGCCCATTGGAATAGACAGATTACCTGACATTTAGGAATATTTTATTAAAGACAGGCAAACTCACTGAGGTTAAGGGGAGAAGAGCAGAAAAACCTAAATTGAAAGATTGAACCAGTAATTAACATGTCTTAGTTTATAAAGCATATAATTCATTCTCCCACAACTTTATGCGGTCAGTGAGGCAAATATTCCTACTATTTCCATTTTAAAAATGGACAATTTCATCAGACTAGCTCTTTGGGGGATTAACAGTATAGTGGCAGATGTTGCTCATTGCTCATTGTCTAGCCAACAGTGATTTCCCTTCTTAGCTGCCAACAGAGCCCTGGATTATGCAGGTGACAGGCAGCATTCCCTTAATATTTCAGAAGACAGACCTCTAGGTTCAACTCCAGAGAATGTATCACAATAACAAAATAATTGAATCAGGATCAATTTACTGTGATCATGATGACTCCATTCTCCTTCAACCATGACGGAATCAGGGATAAACAGGTAACACAGGTCTGGTTAATCAGAATACATCTAATGAGGCACTGCCCTTCCTGGAAGGGCAACTTAAAGGGGACAAAGCACTTTTGCTCTTTTCCCTTCTCTCCTGCTTGATGCTGCCCAGCTGTACTGTGATCATGAGGAAAAGCTGAGAGAGCTGGAAAGATAACCATCAATGTCCAGTCTTTGATAGCTGTTCACCAAACCTGTGAACATCCTTCCTTAAGACTGCTTATTATGCAAAATAATATCTTTATTGTCGAAGTCACTATTATTTAATTACTCTAAAACTTGCAATTAGAAGTATTCCTAACAGAGACAGAAGTAATTGTTCAGGGAAAGCTTACATCACTCATTCTGGAAGCACAACTGAGGTGCAGAAATGTATTGCAGTGTCATTTACATGAGTAATCTGTATCGAGGATTTGATTTTAAACTTCCTATGTGGTAGCTAATACCTTCTATTATATTTGCAATCTTGAAGTCATGTTGGTTCATCTTTACTTTGCACTGGAAGTCCTTTTAAATGTAGTTTATTGTCCTAAGCATTTAGACATACAGGAGGAAGCCTCAACTTAATGAAGAGATGAGAGAGAGTGGATAAGCACTGCTTAGTGTACTATTGACAGTTTATTATTGTGGTCTTCAGAAACTCATGTTCTTTACTGAGTAAATACATTTACCTAAAACAGGTTTATAGCTCTGGGGCGCATAAATACCATTAGTGCCAGCAGAGTTATAGCTGGGAGAATGCATGGAACATATGGTCACAATTCTCCTACTGTTTCTGAGAAAGGGGAGAGGACACCTCTGTGGGAGAGACATATTTTTGTCTGATAGAGTACAATTTACTAGAACACAAAGCACTTTGTCAGAATCTTTCACTGTGAGTCTAAGAAATTAATTAGAAGCGCTCTCATCTGAAAGTTCCTCAAATAAATTATCATTTATCTAACAGAAATACATAGCCTGTAACTTTCTTAGTTGATTAAAAAAACATGGTGCCTACTACTTTATACGGACATTCATGCCACTTCAAACCTTGTAAGACTGCAACTACTGAGTCAGTCACAGCCAGCTATATTTTCAGGATATAAAGTTTATATGCAGAATTATGTATAGAATTGGCAATGTTTCATTTTATCGCCAAACTAAAAAATCTTATCTATAGAAATTCCAACCACGATATATCAAAAATAGTAATGACTTTTATTGAGCCTTCGTGTAAATCAGGCTTTGCACTAGGCACTTGGTCTGCATTATTACCCTTTTAAGACAACCTTAAAAAGTTGGTACTATTTTTATCCACTTAGCAATGAGGAAAGAGGTCTAGAGAGGTTAAAAGTCTTCTCTGAAAAGGTCACTAGTAATACAGTAGATATGGGATTTGAACCAGGTCAGCTTGACTTCAAATCTGGAAGCTCTTCACCACCACCACATTGGTTCTTAGGTTTCAGTGTGATAAGAACTTGGAGCTCTATTAATTGTGAAGATCTGTGGCCTGGTCCCCTTTAGTTCTGACTTGGTCTGGGGCCTAGGAACCTGCATTTCTTTCAAGCATCCAGGTGATTCTCATAAAGGTGGCTTAGAGACAACACCTCAAGAAACACAGCCTTACACTCCATTTAAAATCATTATGCCATTTAAAATCATAATGGGTTTGATAGGCTACAAGAAATATTATCGCTCTCAATTAAAAGTGCAAAGTAGGTATTTTGTTGTGAAAAAACATGTAACAAAGAAAAAGAATTCATTAAGATGAATTTTGATTCTTCAGGAAAGAAGCATAGTTAGTAATATTTTCTTATAAACGTCAATGTCTCATTTTCTCGTAGGCCAGAGACTGCAATGAAAGGTGATAGCACAAGCGTCTGATTTAAGAAAATGAAAACACTCCTTTACTTGCAGCTTAGAAAAGATTTCCCCCACACAACTCGTCTTCTTATCAAAGAGCCATGAGGGTAAAAACACCAAGACAATTAGGCAGTTTAGGAAGAAAATAAATACAGAAATGGGAAGATTATAAGTTATTCAACTAAGAAATCAACAAAGGCACCGCCCTACATGCTGGGATACAAAGTAGTCAGTAGTCACTGTTTTTGGATTATCTGAGCAGTTAATCTGGGTAACTTAAGTATAAAGTCCAATCATCAATCAAATAGGTCAAGGCTTTTTGGCCCTGCACTATGGACTCTCAGGCTAAACTGACATTACCTAAGTAAAAATAATTGATTCTCGGCCGTATGTGATCCTACCACAGTAGGGTACTGAACCCTATTTGTCAACTTTTTTACTTATTCCTAGGTGACTCCCTGTCCTTTATAATAGCTATTTTGATTTTTTTTCCATTCCTTTCAAGTTCCCAAACACATCTTCAATGCCTTCAATTACCATATATAAATTTGCTTTTTATCCTAGCCATCCATGAGTTCTCTGTATTTCCCTTCCTTCCACACTGAAATTTCTTACTGTCAAGCACCCTTTCATAGCTTGTTAGCTTAAGATAAAGAGATTCTTAACTAAGGCTAATTCCTCTACCTATGAATCTGATCCCTTTTGGGATCCTGTTCCATTCTCAGCAAACCTCTCCAGTCACCTGCAGCACTTCAGGCACGTTAGGCATTGGGAGCACGTTAGGCATTGGCAGCACTTCAGGCACGTTAGGCTTTGTTTCACAAAGATGAAAGGACAGGACCCTGCTTTGCAGCAGCTTCCAGGACAGTGTGGAGACAGACTCTCAATAATCGTGAGCAGAGTGCCATAGGACCAAGGGCACAACAGAACTTAAGTTTAAGTAGCTGAACACCAGGGGGCTTCCCCTAGGAAACAGCTGAGATTTAAAAGATAAATAAAAGTGAATCAGGTAGATAGGCAGAAGAAGTGAGAAGATACAGAGGTTCAGGAGAGCATGGCACAGCCAAACAACCGTAAGTATTCAGACGTTGATGGAAAAACTCCCTGGGGAATTGGTGAAAAATACCATCCAGGAGTTTAGATTTTAAGTCTAAAATGAGCCACTGAAGCACTGTTATCACATGTGTATGTTAATGCAAAATCAAAGGCCAGTATCCTAGAAAGCAGGAGAACTTAGTGACCTAGGTAGTATAGTGAGTGCCTAGTTTGGAGTAATAGTGCTGTAGAGATATCAAAGCATGATGGATAAGAAAGACATCTAGGTGGTAGCATTGTAGAACTTAATAGTTCTGGATATCAAGAACAAGAAAGAGAAAAGAATGCAGATTGAGCCCTAGGTTTCTGGCTTTGGTAACTTTCTAACAGCCATGTCATTCCTGGATAGTGCCTGGGCAGACTGAAACTATAGGGCAGCCAAAAGGACATGTCTAATAGGGAATTTGATATGTGGGTGGGTGTGAAACTCAAGAGACACTGGTTTAGGCTCATTTGGCTACTTCTGCACTAAGAGTTCTATCTTGGCATTTGCCAGTGATGCCCATTTTTTTGCCACCAGTCACATTTTATTAGTAACTGCTGACTTCCATGACCTTTCTTTAGACATTATGCTATCTGATCTTTTTACAAATTTTACAATATTGTCTCCCTTTTTATATTCTCCATTGGCTATTTCACCAGGGACTTGGTTCTCTTTAATTCCTTGAAGATGCCTTCTCAGTCTCCTACAGGGACTCCCCATTTTTAATCTCCTTGAATAAAACTGTTCCCTAAGATTTGATCCATAATTTTTTCCTCTATAAAATTCACATTTCTATCCCTTGGGCCATCTCACAAGTCACTAATGGATAGAGGAACTTCCAAACATAATCCTGAACTAGATTTTCAAGCGGAATGCCACATATAAAAGTCCCTCCAAATTCAACATGCCCCAGATTAAAGCTGCTCCATTTATATCCCAATCTCCCAAAAATAGTTCTCTGTTTTCCTGCCCTGTCACTGATGCATCTGCTTCCCCTCTTTCACTTGCCTTCTATGATCAATCCTCAACCTGAAGTGTTCATTCTGTCTCTCTGTCTGGTCCTTGTTTTCACATCATCTCTTTGATATGCAAAATGATTTGAATATAGGGGATCCAGATATGATACAAAATTGCAGTGGTTTATTTGCCATCATAAAATAATGATAGCAACCAACAATTATCCAGTCTTTGCTTTGTGCTGGATGCTATTCTAAAGCACATCACATCTATTTCCTTTTTCTCTGTTTCCCCTTCTATGAATTTAGAAGAGCAAGATGGTTTATTCCTTTTTAAATTTGTCATACTTGGATTATATATCAGTCTGAGTGATATAACCAATTTTCTGGGCAATAAAAAAACTAACCATTGTGTTGCTAATTCTTTAAATGCTGTTAATTTTCAAGGGTTAGCTCTTATTCCTTTTCTTTTGGGAATGCAAATGCACACACTCATTACCCCCCTTGATGAATAACAGAGACTATACCACATATACTTACTTCAAAAACCCAATCTTTGCAGAAACCTGTAAATCAGCAGAACAATTTTCATGGGCACAAAACCTTGCAAAGCTTATCTGGAAATAAAATGACAATTTTTTTATTTTGATTTAATCAGGAAGTATATTTATATATATATATTTTAAAGAAGATGACATCTGTGATGCATGAGAAAAATAAAATTGATACATCAAATTGACAACTCTTTATTTTATCTCTTTTAAAAAGTTCAATGTAAGAATTAGTAGGGTTCAAATGACAATTACTTGCAGGGCTAAAAGAGCTAAGTTCTAAATAGGTAAAATTTAAAGCCCAAATTTTATAAGTGAAATAGATTTGGAAAAAAAGTTAAAGGCATTGAAGGAGCCTATTAGCTACCAAGATTTTTTTTTTCATTGGGTTCCTCTCAATTTTCTGGTGCTGCAGTTTGATCCCATTTATTACACGTAAGTAATGGCACTTAATTTTGGCAGATGTTGTGACAGTGATTTTATATTCACTGAAATTAGCTACATGGAGATAGTTAGAAATTTTACATAGAGGAAACATTGAACAAAATTAAATAAGGGTTCCAGAATTTAACTAACTCTGAACTTTTTAATAAGATCAATAAATACTACAAAGGACCTAGGAAGACCCAAGGCATAAGCTGGACAAAAGGAAAAAATGGAGAGAGATAAAAGGGAAGATAATGGGAATAGGTAAAGAGAGACAGATGCAGAAAGCAAAGAGAGATCTAGAAAGTCAGAAGGAGCCAGGCTCATTAAGTGTGAAGTGACTAGAGTACTGTCAAATAGCGTACCTACAGTTGGGGGAGAAATGTAAATATCTCCCTAAATAAATATGATTTTTTTTCTCTCATTTCTATTGGTAAAGCAGGTTGTTCTAAGAATCAAAATATAAATTAATATAACTACAAATTGCTAAGGTTTTGGCTTGTGTACTTACAATATTGATTTTCACTATTAGAGACATTTACAAAGAGCTGATGTTGAAGACTGAAGTTTAACAGAACAGTAAAACAGCCCCTGACTTCCGTAAATATTTTCATATGAGGGTATAGGGAAAAATATGCTCTTCAGTTATCTTCATTTGATCCTGTATTCTAGACTAGACTAATGGTGATTGTAAGCTCAATTATCTTAAAGTGACTATGGGGCAATTTTGTCTGGACAGGATATGAACTAGACCTTTAAATGTCCCTTTCATCTTTTACATTTTGTGTGTCATTAGTGAACATTTTAATGAAGGCTTTTTACAATGCCCAGACACATCCTGTTTTTGGACAAACACTATGTCTTTGTGTTGGCAGACAGTAAAGGTCTGAACAACGGGACTCCTGAGAATAAATACATTGTCAGTGAAACTTAAATATTTTGGGATAATTTAGAAAATGGTTCACTGGTTAGAATGTAGGATCCATCTCAAATGCAACTGATCCCGGGATGTGGCTGAAAAGCATATAATGGATTTTTTAAAAGAAATTATTGTATTTAACATAAACACATGTGTCTGTAAATGGATAAAACTAAGCAAGGAAATTTGATTATGAAGACTTGAGTGAATCTGTGAGTAGGATGAAAGCAAGGGAGACAGAGAATGAGAAGAGGAAGACAAACTGAGGACACATGATGACACTGAATAACTAACTTATAAATACAACCTTCTCCCATTATGATTTCTCTCTAGTAATACCTCTCTTCACTGGCAAGGCATCAAAAATAGAACAGTAGCATTTTATATGATAATCTACTGTTGTGATTAAATGCGTATTTTAAAATGTTCAGTTCAATATCCTAAAGGGAATATAAACAATTTAAAGAAATGAAAAACAAGACACATCATAAATCTATTTTTATGTTTTTAAAAATTCATAAAATTAAAAAAAATTCTGACATATAGTTCACTTCTTCAGGATGATGCCATATTTTAAAACTTTAGTTAAATGCCACATAATAATTTGGATAAAGGAAAATATTCCTACTGTTTTTTTAATTATGTCTTTTTCTTTCTTCTGCTGAAGAATTGGCTGAAGTGGTGGGAATTCCTCTGTGCTTCGTTTACTGATGACGTGAGGACCAAGGTGGTAAGCAGCTTCAATCTGAATTGGGGTGAGGATGTCCCGCACATCTTTCTAAGGAAAATAACAACCATATGAATTAATAACAAAAACAAGCATGTAGATTAAAAAAATATAAAACTTCTTTCCTGAATAAGGCCAAACACTGTACATGGAAGACAAAGCAAATACTTATCTTTCATCTAAACTGTTAAAAAAATGAAGATGTATATTTCTTCATATCACACAAAAGCATTTACGTTTCTTATGAAAAACACAAAAAGAATAAAAATGAAAAATAATACCATCCAATAATAGTTATAAAGGTGTATACCTGGGAGTATTTTCTTCTGTGCTATTTTCTATGCATTTAAAAGATAACTTGGTATTATATGCATTTTTCATGATAAACTTTTTATAAATCATTTCAAAGTGCTTTTTATCCCATTTAACATTACCCTATATGTTTTCTATCTCTCAATAACATTTCAATTAAATTTGATTCATTTGACTCCAGATATTATAAAACATCCTTTCTGGTTATTCCCTTTTTTCTTCTTTTCTTTTCTTCTTCTTCTTTTTTTTTTTTTAAGAGATGGGATCTCCCTCTATCAGCAGACTGGAATGAAGTATAGCTCACCACAGTTCTGAACTCCTGGGCTCAAGCAATCCTTCTTCTTCAGCTTCAGAGTAGCTAGGACTACAGGTGTGCACCACTATGCCCAGCCAATTTTTTCATATTTATAGAGGCAGGGTCTTGTAATGTTTCCAGACTGGTCTTGAACTCCTGGGCTCAAGGGCTTCTCCAGTCTTGGCCTCCCAAAGAGCTGGGATTACAGGTGTGAGCCACCATACCCAGCCCTTTTCTTTCTTTATGGAACTCTTCTATCATATTTTCTAACAGATATTGAATGGTATATAGGCAAAATATTTGTTTTGTACATCTAATTGTATATACTGGTCACTTTACTGATTTTCTTATTAGTTGTTAAAGTTTTTTTTTTTTTTTTTTTTTTTTCGGTTTTGAGTCAGAGTCTTGCTCTGTCACCCAGGCTTGAGGGCAGTGGCGTGATCTCAGCTCACTACAATCTCCCTCTCCTGGGTTCAAATGATCGTCCCACTTCAGTCATCCGAGTAGCTGGAATTACAGACATGCACAACCACACCCAGCTAATTTTTGTATTTTTAGTAAAGACCAGTTTTCACCAGGTTGGTCAGGCTGGTCTCAAATTCCTGACCTCAAGTGATCCGCCCCCATCGGCCTCCCAAAGTGCTGGGATTACAGGCTTGACCCACTGCAACTGGTTATTTTTTTTTTAAGTTTATTGTGCTTTTGTACTTCACAAAGAACTCTTGAATTTATTTACCAATTACGCAGAAATTGTAACCCATTCACAATCCATTCTGCCCTGTATAACATTCTTCTACACTTAATATCTTAACTAATGTCTACACAGCATTTCTTACTCCTATTCTTGTTGATATGTGGTCACAAGCCTTTTTTTTATAATCAGATTTTTAAAGTTCATTGTCTTCTGTCTCCAAAGAAACAGCTCGAGTTTATTACAAGTGATTGTCAATTCTTATATTTTAACCTTTATTTGTATATGCAGACATTATTTTCTTTTAAAAATATTTTCTATCAACTTACAAATGATTTTTTCATTTATTTGCTAGCATCACTAAAAAATTCCATATTTTCAAAATTGTTTTCTTACACACAGTGAAATAATCAACAAGAAAATATCTTTGAAAGCATTTGTCATTCGATTACGTAAGCACTTCACTAGATAGTAAAAGTGTCCTAGACTCTCAAGTCTATGAAAACAAAGAGAGTCAGCCCTCTGTACCCATCAGTTCCACATCTGTGGGTTCAGCCATCTTGGATCAAAAATAGTTGGCAAATAATGGATAGTTGCATCAGTGCTGAACATGTACAGATTTTTTTCTTGTCATTATTCCCTAACCAATAGAGTATAACAAGTATTTACATAACATTTACATTGTATTACATATTATAAATAATTTAGAGATGATTTAAAGTATATGAGAGGATTTACAAAGGTTAAGTGCAAATATGGCACAATTTTATATAAGGGACTTGAGGATCCTTGGATTTTTGTATCGAAGTGGGGTCCTGGAATAGTATCCTGGAACCAATCCCCCATGGATACTGCAGGATAAGTGTATATGAAAATCAAATAACATATAAAACAATGTCTCTTAGAAAGCACCTGTTCAAGCAGTCCACAGTCAGAAATGTGATTTTCAAAGGGCACTCAACAAAACAAACTTCTCCTTTTCTAAAAGAGTAAGCTAAAAAGATTTTACTACTAAAGTAACCTAAGAGGATTTATAACAGAATTCAAATGAGAAATTACATAAAGCCATGTCGATGAGAAATCTATAAAATAAGATTTTAGACACTGCAAAAATTAAAAGTAGAAATGATCTCAGGATATGAGAGAGCAGTTCACATCACCACATATAGCCCACCTACACAGAAACTAGTGGAGAAAATCTATGCAGTTTTTGTTTTTCTTGGTATTAGAATTGTTGCTATACTCAGGAGATAATTTGAAGAATTAGTCACAGACTGTGATGTCTTTCATACTAATAATTTAAGGCTCAATTTTTACTCTACTTTTCATATGGCCATTTCAATCTATAGGTTCTTCTCATTTTAAAAAATAGATTCAACAAATTCCCTCTTGACCATTAAAGAGTCAAGTGTTTTCACCCAGGCTAGACATATTAACTTAAACCATAACTGAGGTTTATATTATGCTAGATGAGTTCCTCAGGGTAGACCCATGACACTGCAATTGACAGACCTCCTACTGAGTAATGTCAGTGGACCAGGTTTCTATTTATCTATAGACATTTCAAGATTGCAATATGGCTTAAACATTACTGCCCCAAGGCAGGTAAGGAACAGATTATTTTCAAAGCTCATCAATTAATAATCCTTAAGGAATAGGGAAAAAAATTCCTATCGCACAGATTATTGCTGTATTGCTATATTATTTATATAGTAACTTTTGATAAAAATCAATGAAGTAATTTAACAAAGATGATACACATCAAAGACTATTCTATATCTTTGTGTAATTATAAACAAAAAGGATGTAATTTTTTTTTCTTTTCATTTACAACATTATCAATTTATGTGTTAAAAGCAATAGTGGTCTAAAGGTGAAGCACTGGTGTTCAAATCTAGGGTCCACCAGTTATTATCTATGTAACATTGGGCAAGTTTCTTAATTTGTCTATGGCTTAGTTATCTTATCTGAAAATTGGAATAATAACAATTATGGTGGTTATACCTATACCTTATTGTTGTGATGATTAAATGACATAGTGTCCATAAGGCAGACATGACAAAATTTGTATGTTGCTTCAAAATGCAGGCATATAAGCCAACTAAGGAATTACTAAATTTCAGTTTCCTAGAATAAGAGATTCTGGTGAACATTTGGAAGGAATAAGAAAACTGAACTACTGCCAACCAATCAACATTAAATAGAAAATTAGTTACAGAGCAAGGAGTAGACCTCTATTCATTAAATGGTATTTAGAACATTTGGAGCCTGAATCAGAGTACTCAAGATCCCTGATTACTTTTCCATTCTTATACAGAGATGCTTTTATTAAATTACTGGGTAAGGGATCATCACACGAAACCTTGACCATATAGGAATGCTGCGAATCAAGGCCAAATCCCAAGTTATCGACTTGTGAAAACCGAACAGCTTGAAGCCCTGAGTATTACAATAGCAAACTTGATTAAATTATTCCCTGGGTGTAGGAGCTAGACGGCCACTGATTGTCCCTCCACATGTCCACTGTTTTAATTCTTCTCAACAAGCTTGCTTTGACCAAATCACATGCTATCTAATTCATACTAATTTTCCACAAGGTCTTCTCTACATCTGGTGTATATTACTTTCATTATCCTAATTAGCTATTAATTACACTTTTCTTGCAATATATAAAATGTACATGCACTCTTGCAAAAACTGTATTTGACGGATATACACACTAACTTTAGCAGCTCCACCTAAGGACAAAATCTGTAATATCAAAAATGTCTTGAAGTGATTAAATATTTGGGAGTAAAAAAGAAGATTTGTTTAAATTTTTAAATTTGGATGGGCAAGTGCTATGTATATTAAAAATAATGAAGATTCCATGCCACATTTTTATGGACAATTACATAAAATAGGGTGCCCACAAGCATGCAAATTAGCACATGCCTGAAATTATATAACGTCTGTCTTCTTGCTTGACTTTCATGGAAATCTGTATTTCTGGCCAGCTTGAGAGCTGAGCAACAGGCCCATGTCCTCCTGTTAATTTATTTAAAGGGTGGGCCAAAAAATTTTATATCACTAAACAATAATGTCAGGAATAAATATCTGAAGCTATCTATTCATGGGTCTACTGTGTCCAAGGCAGCTCTAGGGATACAAAACTGAAAGTCAGTGCCTGTCCCAATCTATGTTCCACAAATCCACATAGACAGTGTGGGGGATGAATATTCTGATACAGACATGCCCAAATACAGAAGAAGTAGGGCCACCTAATCGACACATAAAAGGGGTTGGGGAGGCTCTTACATAGGAAGATTTTAAGCAAGGAATATGACTAGATTTTTGAAATACCTCTCTGGTGCTTATGTAGGGCTTGGGAAGGAAAAGCTGAGACCAAGACATAGGTTGGCACCTGAACCATCACCATCCTGTAAAATTGCAGTCCCTTTATGTAGTAAGCTTGTCTCAAGTGGTAGAGAACTGTTAAACATCTGGCACTACAATTTCCTGAGAAAAGACAGCACCCCCAAGACAAATGCCCTAACCATGATACCAATAGAACATTCTCAGAGTTTTCTTATAGAATTTTTTAAATAGCATCAAGAACATAGCATCCATAAATGTGTTAAATATTTATTTTCTGCCTTATGTAATGGATTGTGCTAGCTCTAAGAATACAAATATGCAAAAGATAATATCCTGCCTCAAAGATCTTGCAACCTAACAAAAAACTAAAATGTTATAATAATCAATTCACTTCTA